AACCCAGTGAGATAGTTCGGTCATGGATAAGAACTCAGGCTTTAGAGTAGGGCAGCCATGGATTTGAGTCGATTCCCACGCTTATTTAGCTATACCCTCTCAGCAACTTGTTTAACCTTTCCAAGTTTCAGTTTCTTCTTATCTTAAGAATAAAGATAATAACAATGCCTAACTCACAGGCATTCTGTGAAGATTAAATAATCTAATGTGAATAAATTGCTTAGAGAGAATAAGTAATCCAATAAATGTTTGCTGTAACTATCATGAGATGTTAAAGTGGAAAGATATGTAAAAAGATCACCCAGGGCATCTAATATCTCAACCAAGATTAGATTCAATTTTCTTAACTCCTATAGAAATCATGCACGATACCAAAACCTAGCATAAAAATGTGATCTATGGACTGTGTTAGGTTAAACGGCAAGGAGGAACGAAGGTTGTAGATGTAATCCAGGTTGCTGAACTATCCTGGATTATCCAATGGGCCCAGTATAAATAACAAGGGTCCTTAAAAGTGCAAGGAGGAAGAAGAGTCTGAAAAAGATCTGTGGTGATGGAACTAGATTCAGAGAGATGCAACATTACTGGCTTTGATGATGGAGGAAGTAGGTCATGAGCCAAGGAATGAGGGTGGCCGCTAGAAGCTGCAAAAGGCAAGAAAATGCATTATCTGATAGAATGTACAAAAAAGAATACAGCCCTAATGATACTTTGATTTTAGCCTTGTGAGACCTGCATTAGACTTCTATCTTAAAAAAACTGTAAAATAACAAATTTTTGCTGAAGTCAACAGTAAGTAATATAATTAGTAATTCAATTTATATACATTATTAATTGAAGTAATTATGTACCTCTGCTTAAATTTGGGAATCTTTCAAGACAACAGCAAGATTTTGTCATATGACTGTGACTTAGATACTCATCAGTAAGAGTGTATGCCTTGGCTAATATAAACTTGTAGAAATATACTGATTACTATCTCAGTACTGAGTCATAGCTCAAAATGCCTTTGGCCAAATTATATCATGCCCATTCTTTCTTTGAGATTGCCAGATGAAGTCTGTAATCCAAGTAACACACTTCATTAAAACTGGCTAATAAGTAAAATATGAGGATCGACTGCAGGAATAAGATGGTACCCATTTTAAAGATGACAAAACTTGACCCAAATGAGTTAAGTTCCTAAACTTCACACAGACAATAAGCTTTAGAGCCTGGATTCCACCATAGGCACTCTTATTCTGAGCATATGTACTCACCCACTTACCCTATCCTGTTCCATGGTGCATTCGTGCATATCATGAGCTATTTAAGTACTAGTGATTAGAAGACAACTTGGTTTTAACAGAAAAAGCAGCATTTCATAGTGAATAAAAATAGGCATTTTAAAAAGTCCAGAGTAGATCAGTTATAAAATGAATAAACCAAAACTACTTAAAGGTTAAGGAAAACTTCATACCAAAGTAATTAAAAAGTCTTTCTACATTTTTAGTTTGCATGTAGCAAGGAAAAACAAATAATTCTGCTCAGGCAAATCATTCTGCTATTTCAAAATTTGCTGAAGCCATCCTTCATATTAATAGAAGCAATTATTTTAGCTTCACAGATCAGTAGCATGATGTTAAGGCATTGTTTGTAATATGTGTACTATTTTTAAATTGGGATGAGTGGGAACAAAGATGAGTGTACACATCACTTTTACTGTAGAAAACTAAAAACATCAAACATGGAAAATTCAAGACTCAATTAAGATTTCTTTTTGTCCAGAAATAAAACTAGCAATAAAAGTAATCTAGGTGAAAAGGAAATGGTTCTTGGGCATTATTTTATGGAATAAGATGACTCACACATTGTCTAAAAAAATGGGAACTATCATATAAAAGTTATGGTCCTGATTTTAAAGACTATTCCTCTGTCTACAATGAATTTTAAAATAAACAGCATCTGATCTTTCAATTCTAGTAATCTATAGAAAGTATAATTATTTATATCATATGAAATGTAAAGTAACCTAATTCATGTAATGGCAGGTAAATAATGTTCATAGGAACACACTTTGTAATAATTAAAAAGTAGAAAATAATCCTGTGTTCATCCATAGAGAAATAGATGAATAACAAATTAAAATATGGTATAGTCATAGGGTAGAACATAACACAGTAATTAAAATGATGAGCTAGAGCTTTATATTTCAACATGGATAGTTCTTAAAAATATAAAATTATGTTTAAAAGAAACCAAAGTTAGAGAGTCATATAGCAAGATATACCACTTATGCAAATTAAAACATATAAAATAAAATTCTATGTTTATGAAAACATATGTAGAAATATATAAAACATTGGGCTTTAAAAATATACCAAATTCACTAGGATATTTATCCCAGTAAAAGGGAGGGAAAATTCCAATGGATGTGTTTAATTGGTTTTTATTAAAAAAATATCTGAAACAAATTAGTATTAAACCAGTGGTGGGATCAGGGATATTATATTTTCTTTTCATTTTCACTGCTCCACAATAGTTATAAAAGTGGGTTTTTTTGAAATAAATTGTTTGGATATCTCAGACAAAATGTATTTGGAATGAATTTTTCAGAAAATATTTCAGTTTACCGTAATATCAAAATAATCCACTCTTTCAAGGTTTATGATAATCATATAGTTTTACTAAAAATAAATTCAATGAGAACCTCTCTGAAGATTTTAAGATAACCAGACAATGTTGGATAGTCTACAGAATTTAATTGAGGGATGAAAACTGGAGATTTCAAACTCTTATGAGCTTAATACTCAGTTTTACTCCACAAGGTCCTATTTGTTCTAAGAGTAACCACATGGCAGCTCAAAGTGTCTATCTGCAGCTCCATTTGATTTTTTTTTTTTTTTGAGGGGGGACAACAAAAAGCTTCAGGGTCTGCAGTGGTTGAAATGATTTAATTCTTCAGACCATATTGATCACTAAAGATCACTAAGGATTGGTATTAAAATGCAATGTGAAAAAGATTGTGAAAACTCACAGTCACCACCATAGTGCACAGGTACTTTGTGTGGCTTGCAGGGTGTTTCTTATTGGTCACATGTAAACAAAGACAACAACCGTTATGATGTCTAAGCTCAGGGCATGAACTCCTCACACAGTTGGCCCCTTCTTTATAATCAGTTTTTTAAAATTGAGTTTCCATAGAAGATGTAAATCTATACTAAGTTACACAGACATGGAAAATAAGTATCAAATAAAATAACACCATGAAGGCAAAACAAATGTAACCCTGGTAAGAAAATCTGGATGAGGTAATTGCTCTTCAGTAACTTTTCCCCACCCTATAGAGCATAAAGTGTAAGAATCACTGATCTCTGCTAGAGAATTTGCCAAAATTCGATTTGATATGGCAATTACTGTCAGATTATCTGCAACATGCTCAGAATTGTGTTAGAAAAACAGGGAGAAGTTTAGAAGAGGCAAAATCCTCTTACAAACATCACCAAAATGGAGATTGTTCTTAAGTAAGGAAGATGGATTCTTGAAGCATGGTGCAGAAGTTGTCTGATAGGCCCTCCAAATCTCTTGGGCTCCTTAAATCTATTAGAAATGTGTCTTTCTTCAAAAACAGTGAAATCAAGGAATTCACTACTTTAATCAGCTTAGCAAGAGCTTTAGAATATACTTTTTAATGTGAACTTTCTCTTGAGTTTATATTTGTAATTTCAGTTCTCTTTCTCATCTGTTCCTCAGCAATCTGGAAATACTTGCCTTTCATCTAAAAAACTTTAAATTTAAATTCTCTCTGCATAGCTTTGGTATTAAAAGCTTCACTATGTCGCCATTTTATTCATTATTATAATCAACTTTTATTATCTTTATATTCAAATTTTCTGTTTAAGGGTTTTTTTTTTGTAATCATCTCAATAAAAATATCAGTGGTCACTAATTTACTCTACATTTTTTCCCAATATGATTCTAAGTTATCTCCAACATAACACTAATTAAATAGCTTATACACCAATGCTTAGCATAAAGCCAAAGTCTGACAGGGTAGGAGATTTTCAGGCTGTTCCTTGCCATTTATTCTGAAGAGGTCCATCTTATCAGTGCATTTTTTTCATTAATTCCATAAATATTTATAGAGTTCATATCATGTGCTAAACATTTTTTTGTAAATTCCAGGAATATAATGATGTGCCAAACCAAACATGGCCCCTGCCCATACGGACCTTAATATCCAGTGGGGGAGATTTCTGCCAGTCACAAAATTTCCAAGGAAGAGTTCAAGAGGCAGAAAGGTGTAGCATTGTCAAAGATGACCTTTAAGATGGAGTTTGAAGTTTTACTCTGTACCCATCCCAAATCCGAAAATCCAAAATCTGAAAAGCTCCAAAATCTGCAACTTTTTGAGTGCCAACTTGACACTCAAAGGAAGTACTCATCGGAGCATTTTGTATTTAAGATTTTCAGCTTTGGGATGCTAAACTGGCAATATAACGCAAATATTCCTGAATTTGAAAAAGTCCAAAATGTGAAACACTTGTGATCCCCAGCATTTCAGATAAGGGATACTGTATATATTTAACTTTACAGCATCCTTATTTATACTCATTATTCAAAAGAATAAAAGCAGACAGACTGCCTTTTCTATCTTATTCTTCTGATTTTTTATAAACAATGAAGACCATTTTGAAAATATTGGCATTTCTAGTGTAACGTGGACTGTTTGCTCTAGTGTAACGTTTGCTCTCCTGTATTTTAAACAGGTATACCTCAGAAGGACAGGAACTGTGGGAAATGACAAACCTACACTTACCTCTCAGTCAAGTCACATCTTTCATGTACTCTCGCAGGGTACAAATAAAAGTTTGTGTCACGATCACTATCTTCCAGACTGGGCTACTCATCATATCTTGGAGAATGACAGGATCAAGAAAAAGAACAGAGTCTCACAAATGACAGGATATCACCTCCAAGCAATGCCCAAGCCAGGGAGGAGGAGGACAGAGAACACTTACTGGTAAGTGGTTGGGCTGACATTGATGCGCCGAGGGTGACTTCCCGACTCGAATTTGCTTGCCAGGGTGACATTATTTCCAAACAGGCAATAACGTGGCATTCTCACCCCAACAACTCCAGCCAGCACGGAGCCCGAGTGAATGCCTATCCTCATCTAAAAAACAATGAGAAAAGGACAAGAACATATTTGTTTCCAGGTATGCAATTAATTATAGTAATGAAAGGTACTACTAATTACTAAAAAATTAAAGAATTACTAAATTCTTAAAGACAAGAGGTGAGTCTTGGTCATTTTTTTGAGCCTAATATCTGGACCATTATAGTGCTCAATGAACGTAAGTGCTGTGGGATAAATCAATAAATGGATTAACTAAATGAAAAAATCTAAGTTTAATTTGCTACCTAAGTCTGATTGTTATAGGTCAAATCAGGTTTCATTTGTACGTAATATAGTATAACTGAAAAGTGTATTTTTCTCCACTTTTCTCTCCAGTTGTTCTTACATAAAAGCCTATTTCTTCCCTTCATAGCATTAAACACAATTATAAATTAAATATTTATATTTCTGTTTATTTTGTTTAAATGTTAATTTTCCCATGAAAGAAGGGTATATATGTATTTTCTTACTGCTGAATATTCATCAATTTGTACAGAACCTAGAGCAAAATAGACACTCAACAGTAAATGATGAATGTTGAATAAATTGCCTAAATTCCCCAACATACTATTAAAATGGAGTTATAGAGAATTCAACCCTGAGTCAGTCAATAGGCATTGATTAAAAAATGCTAAAGAGTAAATTAAGTGCTGTATATTTACACTCTGAGAATCTGATAAAGATTAGTCTGGTCCCTGCATTGAAGGAGCCCTCAATGTAAAGTTGATATACACTTAGCAGTGATCACAGTAATGAAATTATATCAACATGGTTTACACCAAAATAACTGAAACTAATGGAGACCAAATGGGCAAGGACATCCTTAGTTCCAGGGGAATGCAGAGTGTCTCTGAGAAAGGAGGAAGAGAACTAACTCCTACATGCCTACCAGGAAGGCAAACTGTCACCCCTTCACTTCCATGCCCCCCTCGCCACTATAGTTGTAAGGAAAAGAAGTCACTCTGAGATCAACCTTTGTCATAGGACTAGAGACTTCTGCATGTATCAACTCATTATAAGACAGATAGAAACTAATGTGGCCTAGCTACATAATCTTTTTTTTTTTAGCTACATAATCTTTTCATCTACTTTTTAAAACTGACTCTAAAATTTCTTTGGAAATTCAATATGGTAGGAAAAGTCAAGATACATTTGAGAAAGAAGAAAAATTACAGTATTTTCCCTATCAGATATTAAGTCTTAATATAAACATCTAATTAGTGCATGGATATCATCATTTAGGGAAATAGACCAATGGAACAGATAGCCCAGAAAAGCTTATATATATACATGCACTATATATATATATATATATATATACATATATATATATATGCTAGATACATGAAAAAGCCGGCATTTCAGATTAGTAAGATAAAGATGGACTTTCTGTTAGAATACTCTGGATCAACTCTGTCTTCATGTGGAAAAGAATTTTCAAGTAAATTGAAGATCTTAATATAAAAGGCACAATTTTACAGCTTTAAAAATAACTCTACTAATTAAGGAAAGATCAATCTGTGGTATAAGTAAAATTTCCAAATATAGACACTTTAAAAATATAGACTTTTATTTATCTCTCAATAACAGCTCCCAGGCGAGTGGTCTAGATTGTAAGGCAGCTCTATTTCCTTCTGTCATTCAAGGATCAGACCCTCATTGTGTTTCTCCTCCCTGTCTTGGCATATATTTGGAGCACTCTCATGCTCTAAGCTATGGGTTGTGGGAAGATAGATAGCAAAAGTTATCAATTAAAGTGATCTTCATTCTTTGTATAGATCCAAATTTCCATCTGATATCATTTTCTTTCTGCCCAAAGGACTTCTTTAACATTTCTCATACTGTAAGGCCACTGGTAATGAATTCCTTCAACTTTTGTATGTTTGAAAAAGTCTTTATTCTGACTTCATATCTAAATGATATTTTACTGCGTATGGAATTCTAGGTTGACAATTTAATTTTTTCCTTTTGTACTTTAAAGATGTTGCTACACTGGTTCCTCCTTTGCATTATTTCAGATGAGAAATCTGCTGTCATGTTTATCTTAATTCCTTCACATGTGACATGGCTTTTTATTTCGGTTGCTTTTAAGGTTTTCTTTCATTGCTAGTTTTAAGTAATTTAGTTATGATTTCCCTTGATGGTGTTTTCTTTATGTTTCTTGTGCTTTGGCTTTGTTGAACTCTTAGATGTGTGGGTTTATGGTTTTCATCAAATTTGGTAATTTTCCAGCTATTGTTTTATTCAAATATTTGTTTCCTGTCCACTTCTCCCTCTCAGAGACTCTTATAACATGTATGGTAGGATGCTTGAATTATTTCCAAAGTTCGTTGATAATATATTCATTTAAAATAATTTTTCTCTATTTCAGATAAATTCTACTATGTCTTCAAATTCACTAATCTTTTCTTTTGCAATGTCTTATCTGTTGTTAATAACATCAGTGTATTTTTCATTTCAGACACTGTAATTTTCCTCTCTAGAAGTTCAATTTGGGATTTTTTATCTTCCAGGTATCAATCTAACTTTCAAACATATGGAATACAGTTTAAATAACTGTTTTAGTGCTCTTGCCTAATGATTTGATTGTCTGTTTCAGCTCTGTATATATCAGTTTGGATTGCCTGATTTTTTTCCCCCTTCATTATGAGTCATATTTTTTCAGCTTTTCCTTCTGCCTAGTAATTTTTGATTGGATGCCAGATATCATGAATCTGACTTATCGAGCGTTGAATGCTTTTATATTCTCATAAATATTCTTGAGCTTTGTTCTGGGATTCAGTTAAATTCCTTGGAAACAGTTTGTTCCTTTCAAGTCTTGCTTTTAAGATTTGTTAGGTGAGCAATGTTTCGTGAAGGACTAATTATCCCCCATTACTAATGTAAGAACCATGAGTACCTTCTCCAATGCCCCTGATTTATGGGGTTTCCCAGTCTTTCTAATGGAAACAGGCATTTTTTTCCCCAAGTTCTATCTGAGTGCCAGGTACTTTTTACTCTAACTTTTTTTGGTATCTCCTCCTCCCCTGGGGCTCAGGCAGTTTCCTCATATTACATGCAGTGATCAGTGCTCTGTAGAATACATGAGAAGGACGCTTGGAAGATATCTGGGGGTCTTTGTGCAAATCTCTCCTCTCTCCCACTCTGTTTATGACCTCTAGTCTTCTAGCTCCCTCTCTTTAACTCAAGGAGTTCACTGCGTGCCTCTAGGATAATTATAGGACTCATCTCATTTGCTTCCTATCTCTCAGGGATCACTGTCTTCCATTGCTTAGTGCCCAGTGTCATGAAAACTGTTCTTTTGTATATTTTACCCAGATTAAAAAAAATTTTTTTTTATTTTTAAGATGGAAGTGTGAATCCAGTCCCTGTACTCTACGTTGGCTGGAAACAGAAGTGAGATCTACTTTTCTAAAAAACTATGTGAAAAATGTACGCCTATTTCTGATGAGGGATTGCCTATTTGGATTTAAAGGAAAACATGATAAGTGGCAATCTTCCTTTTAAACAAGATAAGTGTAAAGCACCTTTCTCTAAAATTAGCAAAGCGTTCTGCAATATCATATTTCTTTGGGGTTCTGTTTACTTTAAGAAGGCCTATTTATATATCATCACCTTGTGCAACACAGATTTGCCTGAAAAAGACCCAGACCTTAGATGCTACGATTTTCATTTGGGGCTTGTGATCATTATCATAATCTTTTTAAGCAGGAGGAGAATAAGAGTGAGTTTCATCACATTGACACATTTTACAGCTTTTTTTTTTATTTTTGTGCTTTCTGTTCAAGAAAAAAGAGTCCATACCCTACACCAAAAATATAGAAGGCTTATATAGTTCTACCTCTGCCTCTTTTCAGAAAGCCTGAGGCTTTTTTAAAGCCAAGTTTTCAAAATGAGAATTATTGTAACATGAAAAATACTCAGGATAATTACTCTGATATCTTTTGGGAGTGTGTAGGGAGGAGTGGTCATAAAAAACAAACAAACAATTTTGTCTCTTAGAATGCCATCTAGAAGATGCACAAGAGTATCGACCACCACAAAAATAGCACTGACCCACTGTACTGCCACTACCTTATAATGGAACACGACTCACAGATTTATTTAGTTTGGGAAGTAAGGAGATACCACTAGAAACTTACAAGCTGAATCATCAGCCTCCATTTTCCTTAGCATTTCTTTTGACAACTTATTAAGATTTCCTAGGAATTGTTGCCTATATAAGGAAGTCACTGATTGCCTCATTCAGAATGTGCCAAGAGCATCTAGCTGTTAGACAAAATAAAGAGATACATTTAACCATCAATGGAGGGTTTAGATTCATTCTGGCAAGATTTAGCTTTATTTAAATGGGTTAACCAAGAAGTAGCATTTGCATCCATCTGGCCAATATACCTTCACTAAACAGGATTTATTTGCACTAAACCAGTGGTTCTCAAATGGGGCCATTCATGCCCCTTGGTGGACATTTGGCAATGTCTGGAGACAATTTTGATTTTCACATTTTCACAACTGAGAAGGAGATCTGCTAATGGCATCTACCAGCATCTAGCTACTGGTAGAGCTACTGGTAGAGCTAGAGATTCCCAGGACAGCTCCCTACACCTAGCAAAGAATTTTCCAGCTTCAAATAGCAATAGTATCAAAATTGAGAAACCCTGCACTACACAGACCTCTGGCAACCTGTTAACATTTAGTAAACCAGCATAGACAAAAATATAAATGCTTTAATCAGATTAAATCTTGGATGAAACATAGTAGACTTTAACCTTAAAAGAAAGTTCATGAAAAAAATAATGGTGTCCCAGGAATTTATTGAAAAACAAAAGAACTTTAGGATATATCCTGAGGTTAGGTTATCTATCACTTAATCTTGTATGTCTTCAATGTATAAAATAGTATAAAACTCTGGGACACATCAAAGTTCCCAATTATCAAAGGATTCAGTTACTGTCACAATGTTCTACATATTATTTATTAGCCACAACTTATAACCA